AATTACCACTAGATTGGAGTCCAAACCGCGCGTAGTTTAATGCGGGCGTAATGAAACTAAGACAGCGGTAGCGCGGGTTTGTGCCTGCAGGCGAGCCCGCCGAGGCCCCTACTGGTCTGCTGGTACGCCTTTCCTCTCTCTTTCCCGGTGGAGTTGTCTGGCCTGGTTGAAAGAAGATCATGTGCCTGCAAGGCTAAGACCGAGCTGATGGACTTCCGAAGCGCACCGTGTTACCTTTTCCGAGGAGTTCTTCTCATTATTTATGCCTTCTGTTGGAATGGTCACCTAACCGTCAGGGGTCCCCACGAGACGGGTCAGCCAGGCGGGTTGTCGGTAACCAAGTATTCCCAGCAGGACTGTCGGGAGGTGGATGAATATTACATGCTAGTGGATTAATTATGATTTTATTCAGGAAAAATTGTTGAGTTGCACTTAGGAAGAAGTTATTAACTCCACTGAAAGAAAAAAATTAACTTGATTCAAGAGAAAAATTCTTGAACTAAAAATATTATTTTGAAGAGGGTAATTGTCTTGAATCAAGACGAAAAATTATTTAATTAAGTAAAATTTCCTTAAATCAAGAATAAGTATTAAGTTCTTCAAAATTATATACTTGATTCAACAACATTTTTTTTTCTGTGTGGTGATTAATTTATTTATTTAGAAACAATTTTTCTTTTATAAAGTAGGGTAAATGCACCAATTATTGACCGATTAAGGTTTTTTTTTTCTGTACTAAGCTATAAAAAATTTATTAACCTACTAAAACCAATTTATAATGAATTTTATTAAAGTTAAATACTTAATTAATAATAATTAATAACTATTTATAATAAAAATTATATTAATTTTGTTATTTGAATCTTGAAATACTAAAATCACCAATTACTGACCGAAGAAACCCAATAAAGGACCGAGCGTTCTCCAATTAATTGACCGCTCAAATAATTATAAGTAATTTTGTAAACTACATGTATGTAATTAAATTTATGCAGTACTTTTGAAGTATTAACGACATTTTTAACAAAACTAAACATACAATATAATTTTAAATCGTACTTTTTTTTATAAAATAATATAAATAATAGCAATAATTAACATAAAGTCACATTTCTTTAGGCGACAAATAATCACAAATTCATTTTGATGACGATAATTCTTCTGATTCACTTGAAATTTTTTTATTCTTCTCCTTCTTTTTTTCAATTAAAGCTTTTTTACTAGCTTGTAACTCTTTTTTATTTTTTTAATTGCTTAGCAATTTTTTCTTCTAATAATTCGTTCTTTGATGTAACCGTTCACTAAAAAAATTAGAACAAAATAAAATTTAATAATCAAAAAAGATTTTGATTATTTTTTTTTTAATGAAAAAAAAAAACATTGAATATGAATCCGAATTATTATTTTTTTAAGTACATTTAAAGACAAAAATTTCAAAAAAAAAAAACATCCCAAAAAGTCAATTTTCAAAAAAGTTATGGTTATTTAACAAAAAAAAACTGTTTTTTTGTAATAACTTGTAACTTTTTTTTGGTTGGGTAAAAAAATTTGAAAAAATTCTGAAAATTGTTTTCAATAGGGTAGAGAAAGATACCAAAATTTCAGAAAAATCGAAAAGGGTCGGTGTCAAAAGTGGTCGATTTGGCATGGAATGCCCCATATACATTCTTCTTATTAAATTGATTTTTATTAAGAAGTAAGTACTTGAATTAGTAAAAATTTTAATTAACTGTAATTGCAGTGAGATTAATTATAATTATAATAAAATCTGTAACTAGTCTAGACTGCATGTTTAATTATAATTGAATATTAAATGAATGTTTTATATTGCAGGTACTGGTAGAAATTATGGCGCTCGAAGATCTTTCTTTAATTTAACACTTGGAGCAAATTTATGCAAGTTACGGTATGAAGCTCCAAGTTTACAAGCTAAATCAACCGCGAGGTCATGTGAGGCATTTAAGTTAAAAGATAGAGAGGGTATCAACGAGCTAAGGGGCTAAGTTATTATATAGTAGGCTTGTATATGCCCTTGCACGCGTGTGTCGGATACTTTAATGGAACTTATAACTCGTTTAGATAGTTGGGTAATTCACACGAGGAACGAGAATCACATTTTTTGTTTATTTTTTAGGTAAGAACTAAATATAAAGAATATTTTTGTTAAATCGACAGAAATTTCACCCGAACAAAGAAACTTTGGCAGTTTCTTCAATCTTCTGAAGATGCTCATGAATATGATGAATGTTTTGATTTTAGATGTGAACATTCTGATGATTTATAACATAAGCCACTACTTTACTGATTATTACACTGATAGAAGGATTTATCAACTATTAATAATTTAATTTATTTGAAGACAAATATTTAAATTATTAAACTTTAATAAATATTTATTTCGGAAAAAAATACATTTATTAACAGTTAATATTTTTTTGTTTTAACTATATTACATTATAATAACGTTTATTGTAAAATACCAAATTCTATCACAGCTCATAATTATCTTTTATATTTTTAAATATTAAAAACGTTAATTAATTTAATGAATTTAAATTATTTATTATTATATATCAAGAAAAATTGCTATTTTTGCTTTTGATTTTAAATAAATATTTGTTAACAGTTAACAAATATTCATTAACCATTAATAAATATTTATTAAATTCTATGATGTTAAAAAATCATTTATTAACAGTTAATAAAGTTTATATATTATTATTATTATTTTATAAGAAATAAATTTTCGTTATTTGAGAAATCTACTTCAATTTCGGCAGCCGAACGGCCTTTTTATATTTATTGTTTAATAAAGTATATTTATTTATTTTAATGCTTTAAAAAATGAATTACGGTAAAATTTATTAATAATTAAATGAAATAATTATCGTAATTATATCTCAATATTTTATTAAAGAATAATTTACAAAAACATTAGAAAGTTAGTTTGTTTAGTAACTAATATAAATCTTTGTTGAAAATAGTTTTACAAATAAATATATCAAAATAAAATTAGTAAGTAGGGTAAATGCACCAATTATTGACCGATTAAGGTTTTCTTTTTCTGTACTAAGCTATAAAAAATCTATTAACCTACTAAAAACAATTTGTAATGGATTTTATTAAAGTTAAATACTTAATTAATAATAATTAATAACTATTTATAATAAAAATTAACAAAATTATATTAATTTTGTTATTTGAATGTTGAAATACTAAAATCACCAATTATTGACCGAAGAAACCCAATAAATAACCGACCGTTCTCCA